TTGGGTCAAGAGTGATAGAATTGGCTTGCGATAGATAATTGTCATGTATCATTGATGTTGTTGCATGTTCATACTTGAATTATGTAAATTTCAACTGAATTTGTTTTGGGGAGAATTTCAACTGAATTTTTTCTTTTATGTTTCATGTGTTTATATTGTCACATTGACATGTATCACTCAATTAATATAACAGTGAAATTCTTATTAACTTTGATATTCAACATGGAACGCACGAGAACATATGGACATTAGATCGTGGTTGTTGGCTTGACAGACAAGCAAGTAGTAAACCGTTGTACAAATGAATTTATAATGTATAAGATAATTGCATTTATTGATGAGTTGTTGTTTCTTAGATAATCACTTTAGTTGCTTTGCAATTTACATTAAAGCAAAAGGATTGTATCCCAGATGCGAAATATCCAGCATGGTATCTACCTATATATTTTTCAGTAATTTACTTATGCATTTTATAATTGAAAGCATTTGACTACGTAGCATATCATGTTTATCTATACTAAGCTTGTGTTATTGATAATTATATTAATTTTTATGAGTTGTAGTAACATATTTTGCGCCACAAGATTTATAAACCAAACATGCTCAAGTCCTATTTTGGAACAGAACAGTACACGGGAAAAATTGAATCATGTGAAAGGGTATTGATTTGTTATTATCTCACTTTATTTTTGTTTAATATGTTAATGAACATGATAGTGCTGATTATTGATTTAATATAGGTGTACATTCCAATTAATGATGTGGGTGAACATTGGTATATGTGTGTGGTATACATGCGACAACAAGTAGTGTATATCCTTGATCTATATATATCAAAAAGAAGTAGAACTCGGCCAACTCAAGTGAAAAAAGTGGTATACATCCTTATACAATGTTGTTATTTGCATTTTGTATTGCATGTTTTCCTACTAACTAGTTATGCAAATGACAGGTTGAAGTATTACATGACTTATTGGGAATTCAGTACAAGAATGCATATACAAATAAGATCACCGAGTTTCCCATTAGAACACTTGAATGGCTTCCACAACAAAGTAATGGCTATAATTGTGGAATGCACGTCATCAAGTATTTTGAATAGGTGCAATTTATTAATTTCGAAGCTTGTTTGCTTCAATTTGACTCGTGGGATGCAAGACAAAGATTGGCACTGGGCTTAGTTCGAGATGCAAACGATAAAATTGGGTCAAGAGTGATAGAATTGGCTTGCGATAGATAATTGTCATGTATCATTGATGTTGTTGTATGTTCATACTTGAATTATGTGAATTTCAATTGAATTTGTTTTGGGGAGGATTTAGGGCAAATGGATTTTAGTCATATGATTTTTTTCATTTTTTAGTAATTTGGATTTGGATTGTAGATGGGCAGGATTTGAATTAACTATCATTTACCACTTTATTATACTTCAATGACTCAACTTACTATTTTATTATCTTTGCTTACCATTTTATTCAATCATACTTACTAGTTATAAAGACTTTACTTACCAGTTTGTTAGACTTAACTTACCACTCAAATAAGCCTCACTTACTACCACTCAAATAAATTCCACTTACTACTTTATTACTCTTTGTTTACCATTTTATTCAATCATACTTACTAGTTAAAAAAACTCTACTTACTAGTGTATTAGACTTAACTTACCACTCAAATAAGCCTTACTTACTACCACTTAAATAAACTCCATTTACTACTTTATTACTCTTTGCTTACCATTTTATTCAATCATACTTACTAGTTAAAAAGACTCTACTTACTAGTTTATTAGACTTAATTTACCACTCAAATAAGCCTCACTTACTACTACTCAAATAAACTTCACTTACTACTTTATTACTCTTTGCTTATCATTTTATTCAATCATACTTACTAGTTAATGAGACTCCACTTACCAATTACATAAGTCTCACTTACAACTCGACTTAACCCCACCTACTAATGAATGAGACTTATATAATTTAAATGTGACTATTGAAAATGATTGATCATGACATTAGTACATATGACTATTGACCATTCAAATTATTGAACATGACACTAGCACATATGGCTATTCACATGTGACTGTGAACAATGATTAAAATAATACTTCATTACTCTTGACTTACCATTTCATTCAATCATACTTACAAGTTAAAAAGACTCTATTTACTAGTTTGTTAGACTTAACTTACCACTCAAATAAGCCTCACTTACTACCATTAAAAATAGACTCCACTTACCACTCTTTTACACTTTACTTACCATTCAAATAAGCCTCGCTTACTATCTCTGAAATAGACTCTACTTACTACTTCATTACTCTTTGCTTACCATTTCATTAATCCATGCTTACTAGTTAATGACACTCTACTTACCACTTAAATAAATCTCATTTGCAACTTAATTAAACCCCACTTAGTGTTGAATGAGACTCATATAATTCACGTGTGACTACTAAAAATGATTGATCATGACACTAGTACATATGACTATTGACCATTCAAATGATTGAACATGATATTAGTACATATGACTATTCACATGTGACTATTAACAATGATTAAAATAATACTAATAGATCACATGTGACACCCTTATTTAACCTCACTTGTATGCATCATACTTCACTACAAGCCTAAGTACTCAAAATGCCTAAACGAAAATCTGAAAATATTGCATCATCTAGCTCTACATTTAGTCATGGTAGTGGTAATGATTTTCAAACACCTCCAACAATAGGTTCCTATACTGATCTATTAGGAAAGACATGGTATGGAACCAAACGTCAGTTCCATAATAAACCTCTTTTCATGCATGATCCATGGCAATCAGATGTGGGTCACGTAATTGTTGGTCATGCATACGATCATCTACCACACAGGGTCAATGTTGATAGAAACAACTTGCAATGGCAAGACCTCTTCGAAAAACGTTGTGAACTTGAGATATATTGTCGATGGCATGGGCTATGGGTTCCAAGGGCATGTTTAGCTGAACAATGCAGAAACAAATCATGCGGTGATGCAACAGCCATATCAAGGCTACAAAGAGAGAATACACAGATGCAACGAAGATTGGATAGATTTCATTACATTGAATATGCCAAGAAAAAATCTCATTTTGATTGTGACAATGCTATCACAACAATCATTGAAGATCCATTGCTAGTTTCGAATCCACAAATTTCAGACTTCTCTAATGATAGTGATGATGACTTTGTAAACTATTTGCCAAATAGTTTATGTGTTCGTGAAAATCCATTATGTTGTTATGAACACGGTGAATAAAATCATAATGGTAATTCTTGTGTTTATAAATGGTAAGTAGCATAAGAACGAATAGTAAGTGTTGTGTTTAAGAATAGTCAATACAATAAGAATAAATATTAAGTATTTTGTCTGACAATGGTAAGTATTGTGTTTGAGAATGGTAAGAGTCTCACACTATCATTTGTATTATACATATAAAAAGTCATATGCCTTATAAATATAAGTCTTACACAAACGAGTAATGTCGCAAAAATAATTACTTTGACTGTCGCAAAAAATAATGTCGCAAAAGTCATATGCCTGATTTCTTTGATTGTCTTGAAGATTGCTACAATTACTTTGACAAGTCAATTGTCCCTCCTACGACACGACCATAAATGCTGTCAGGAGTTTCTGAGCATGTACGTACCTACATAATGTAACTAATAATTAATAAATTCTGAAACATAAATTTTGTGAATAAAAGTTAAATAAAAAATTATTACCACATGACTATTCACATGTGACTATTAACAATGATTAAAATAATACTAATAGATCACATGTGACACCCTTATTTAACCTCACTTGTATACATCATACTTCACTACAAGCCTAAGTACTCAAAATGCCTAAATGAAAATCTGAAAATATTGCATCATCTAGCTCTACATTTAGTCATGGTAGTGGTGATGATTTTCAAACACCTCCAACAATAGGTTCCTATACTGATCCATTAGGAAAGACATGGTATGGAACCAAACGTCAGTTCCATAATAAACCTCTTTTCATGCATGATCCATGGCAATCAGATGTGGGTCACGTAATTGTTGGTCATGCATACGATCATCTACCACACAGGGTCAATGTTGATAGAAACAACTTGCAATGGCAAGACCTCTTCGAAAAACGTTGTGAACTTGAGATATATTGTCGATGGCATGGGCTATGGGTTCCAAGGGCATGTTTAGCTGAACAATGCAGAAACAAATCATGCGGTGATGCAACAGCCATATCAAGGCTACAAAGAGAGAATACACAGATGCAACGAAGATTGGATAGATTTCATTACATTGAATATGCTAAGAAAAAATCTCATTTTGATTGTGATAGTGCTATCACAGCAATCATTGAAGATCCATTGCTAGTTTCTGATCCAGACATTTCAGACTTCTCTGATGATAGTGATGATGACTTTGTAAACTATTTGCCAAATAGTTTATGTGTTCGTGAAAAAACCATTATGTTGTTACGAACATGGTGAATAAAATTATAATGGTAATTATTGTGTTGATGAATGGTAAGTAGCATAAGAACAATTAGTAAGCATTGCCTTATAAATATAAGTCATACCACTTTTTTACATTTATATTCAAATAAACTTTACTTACTACCACTCAAATAAACTCCACTTACTACTTCATTACTCTTGGCTTACCATTTTATTCAATCATACTTACTAGTCAAGAAAACTCTACTTACCAGTTTGTTGGGCTTGACTTACCACTCAAATAAATCTCATTTACTACCACTTAAAATAGACTCCACTCACTACATTACTTACCATTATGTTGTTATGAATATGATGAACGAAATTACAGTGGTAAGTATTGTGTTTGAGAATGGTAATTATACATATAAAAAGTCATATGCCTTATAAATATAAGCCTTACACAAACGAGTAATGTCACACAAAAAATTAAAATATAAGGCTGATTTCTTTGATTGCCTCGAAGATTGCTACAATCACTTGGACAAGTCAATTGTCTCTCCTATGACATGACCATAAATGTTGTCAGGAGTTTCTGAGCATGTACGTACCTACATAATGTAACCAATAATTAATAAATTCTGAAACATAAATTTTGTGAATAAAAGTTAAATAAAAATTATTACCACAAAGTTAGGATAGATATTGGAATCGCATCCCATTATATTGTAGTCAATTCCAGCAAAAGTAGGGTGCTCATTGGAACCACATCCTATTATATTGTAGTCACTATTAGTAAAAGTAAGGTCGACATTAAAACCACCTTCTTGGTGTAACATGCTTGCCCCTGATACATAAGTATCTTGTGTAGGAAAAGAATCAATATTCTCATTTTCTAATTTTGGACACTTTACCTCTGTAACAAAACACATTACACTTAGTATATAAATTTAATTATAATTCAATACACTTACTAAATAAATTAAATTGTTAGATACCTGCAATGACCACATTTCCTTGGCTTTGAAAACTTATCTTTCGCAACAGAACGACTCCCCTTCGTCTTTGTAAAGGGAGGATCACCAACACCAAAATGCAAACATGTCCCTTCAACATTGCTTTTTCCTTTTGTTCCATTTCCTTCAACATATTGGACATACAAATCTTTCATTCGACATGTTAACTTTGTCACTGCATCTCTAGCTTCTTCATATCCATTGGTTAAGTGCGAAGCATAATAGTACATCTCAGTACATGCACTTGACAATGCACCAAACCATGTTGTTTGCGTAACCCATTCTGGAAAAAAGGTCTTACCGAGTAAAATGGAAGACTTGACATTTTTTGTCCACCCTTGTAATATACATCTAAAGGGAATTTCTTTCAAATACTCCATTTTCATGATTGATACCATATGAGAACATGGTATTCCATATGATTCAAAATACAAACAAGAACATTTCAAGGTATGATCACTTGGCCGATATTGTACATTCCACGTGGATTATGGATTTGTATACATAGACAAATAGTATACGTGAACATCTTCTATATCAGTTTTTCTTGACATAAATAACACTTGCTCGGATTTTATTTGTTCACGAAATTTGAAAAATATGGCACGAGTAAATATATCAACAGCATGTCTTTCAATCCTTTTCATACCTGTAGACAGAATAGGAGTGGTATTCTCAGTTTCGGATTGTGCCTTAGCCTCGTTATGACGAAGTCTTGCAAGTCCCTTACAAATTCAAAGAGCCTTAGGCGCACCTTTAGGAATCGATTCAAAAATGCAGTCATACTCTCACAACGTTGCGTGCTTTTTGCACTAACAAAGAAATGTCCATGGAGGTATGCTTCAGCCCATAGAGTACGCTTGCAATACACATCTGCAATCCACTTGTTATTATGAAGGCTATACTTATCTACAAGGTTCTTCCACTCTAACTCAAACATTTCTTGTGTACATTGCATTGACTTGCATTTTTCAAAGCTATGAAGAAATCCCTCTATGTGGATATTGGAAAGAGCATTCATTTTAAGATGCCATTTACATAATCGATGTCGAGCAGTAAGCATAACTGTTTTGATTGCTCTACGTATGGCCTTATCCCCGTCAGTGATTACAGACAGAGGTATCTTGTGATCCATTGCATCAAGAAATTTCTCTGACACCCATATGTATGTCTCTACTGTCTCGGAAGCTAACAGTGCACACCCAAAAACAGTCGTTTAAAAGTGGTTGCTCACACCTTGTAGCATCACAAAAGGTTTGTTGTACACATTTGTCCGATACGTAGTATCAAACACCAACACATCACCAAAATACATATAATCTGTTCGAGATCCACCATTAGTCCAAAATAAATTATTTAATCGATTTTCTTCATCTACACCATATTTATAATAAAACATTGGATCTTGCTCTTCTTTACCACATAAGTAAGCCAAAACACCTTCTGCGTTGCCATCGACAACTTGCACTCTACGTTCAGTCCCAAAATGGTTGTACATGTCCTTCTGTATGAACCCAACATTCTCATAGCCACCTGCTTGTTGTGCAACAAAGTCCATAATGTGACTTGTCCTCATACCAACATGATGCATTGCATTGCCTTATGCCTTGTCGGCACTCGTAACATTCCGGTGTGAGCGCAGAAATTGAACACCAAGAGGCCTTATCATGGAATGATTGTGCTCTTTGAAAAATTCATTCATTTCATATTTGGAAGTACGCCGATTGTATTTGATACAAAAACAAGCACGACAACCAACTTTAGTTAATTGTTTTGGTTCTCTTTTACGTTCTTTAATCTCAAGGTATTTGGATTGTCTGTGTCCTTCTTTTGAACATACCCAATTCCTTGATATAACCATATTATTCTTGTCCTTATACAACTGATCCCTTCGAATACTAAAACCTTTCACCTTAGCATACGAATTAAAAAATCTTTCTCCATTTTCTTCTGAATCAAATGTCATTTCAAACACATCATTTTCAGTTAATTCATCTAGATGCTTAATATCTCTTTTAGTTAGAATATCATTAGAATTGACGTTATTATCTTCATTATGAATATTATACTTACCATCATTACCGTTATCATCATCTAGTTCATATATAATGGTATTCTTGTTTTGCTCAGTGTTGTCTGTACTCCGATTGTATTTGATACAAAAACAAGCACGACAACCAACTCTAGTTAATTGTTTTGGTTCTCTTTTACGTTCTTTAATCTCAAGGTATTTGGATTGTCTGTGTCATTCTTTTGAACATACCCAATTCCTTGATATAACCATATTATTCTTGTCCTTATACAACTGATCCCTTCGAAAACTAAAACCTTTCACCTTAGCATACGAATTAAAAAATCTTTCTCCATTTTCTTCTGAATCAAATGTCATTTCAAACACATCATTTTCAGTTAATTCATCTAGATGCTTAATATCTCTTTTAGTTAGAATATCATTAGAATTGACGTTATTATCTTCATTATGAATATTATACTTACCATCATTACCGTTATCATCATCTAGTTCATATATAATGGTATTCTTGTTTTGCTCAGTGTTGTCTTCCATTTGCAATAAGCATAAACAAATTAATTAAGAAAAAACAAGTAAAAAATGGTAAGTAAAATACTAGGTGGTAAAATGGATGGTAAGTGGTAAGTTGAGTCAAAAAGAGTTGCAAGTAGAATGAGAAGGAATGGTAAGTGTTGTGTTTTTGAATGATAATTAAACTCATTTAAACCACACTTACTACTCAATGAGACTGTACTTACTACTTTATCAGCATCACACTTACTACTCAATGAGACTCTACTTACTACTTTAGCAAACTTGACTTATCAGCCATTTAAACCACACTTACTATTTCATCAGACTTGACTTACTATTCATTTAAACCATACTTACTATTCAATAAGACTGTACTTACTACTTTATCAGACTTGACTTACCATTCATTTGAATCACACTTACTACTCAATGAGACTCTACTTACTACTTTATCAAACTTGACTTATTAGTCATTTAAACAGTACTTACTACTCAATAAGATTTTACTTATTATTTTATCAGACTTAACACATTTAAACCACACTTACTACTCAATGAGATTGTACTTACTACTTTATTAGAATCACACTTACTACTCAATCAGACTCTACTTACTACTTTATCAAACTTGACTTATCAGCCATTTAAATCACACTTATTAGTCAATGAGACTGGACTTACTATTTCATCAGACTTGATTTACCACTCATTTGAATCACACTTACTACTCAATGAGACTATCCTTACTATTTTATCAGACTTGACTTACTACTCATTTAAGCCACACTTAATACTCAATGAGACTATACTTACTATTTTATCAAACTTGGCTTATCACTCATTTAAACAATACTTACTACTTTATTAGACTTGACTTATCAATCATTTAAACTAAACTTAAGACTACATTTATTATTTCATTAAACTTGATTTTTTTTTTCCTTACCACTTGAATCTCATAATTTTTCTTTTAACTAGGTGAAATGTTATTCCAACAAAACATAAAAATTTATAAATTCAAAATATAATGGAAGTGAAAGTAAAAAGAGAGAGACTTACCGAAAGAGTTTCAAATCAACAACAATTCTATCTTAAAATCTTCGAAAGTTTTAGAAATGAACATCCTTGACTTATTAATCATTTAAACTAAACTTAAGACTACATTTACTATTTCATCAAACTTGATTTTTTTTTTTTTTCCCCCCTTACTACTTGAATCTCATAATTTTTCTTTTAATTAGGTGAAATGTTATTCCAACAAAACATAAAAAGAAATTTGTTCTAACAAAACATAAAAATTTATAAATTCAAAATATAATGGAAGTGAAAGTAAAAAGAGAGAGACTTACCTAAGGAGCTCCAAATCAACAACAATTCTATCTTAAAATCTTTGAAAGTTTCAGAAATGAACATCAAATTTTGTTTATGGAATCCTCAAATGAATTTGAAAATTTTCTATTTTGTTAATCATATTTCTCATTAATTGCATTTGTTGTGGTAGATGAAAAAGATACTAGGTTTCATTTATTGCCATTCATTGCCATTAAGTAGATAAATAAAAAAAAAATCATATTCTATAAAATGTAAAAAATTATAATAAAATTTATAAATTTCATATTTATTTTGTACATTTTTTTTTCCGTTTACATTCTATTTTATAAATTTTATATTTATTTTAGAGGTTAGGTGCATTTTATTAATTTTTGAATGGTAAGTGTAGTTATGTGGAGCAGTAAATACAACTATATCAAACCAATTAGGCCTAACCTAATTGGCTGATATGCCTTCCTTAGAGTTTAGTCCCAAGGAGGACAAGAGTTCAATTCCCCTTTGAGGGGTTGAATTAAGGGAGTGCAAGCATTTTGGTGCTTTGCCAACGGTGGGGAGATTTTCTCCCATATGTGCTAATCTAATAACTAACAGCTAATATTTGCTGATCAAAAAAAAAAAAAAAAAAAAAGAAAATTCACTCAATTCATTAACAAAAAAAGTGTGTTTAGTTGTTGTAATAAGTTGGAAACCACTCATTTAAATTATACTTACTATTTTATTAGACTTACTTACCACTTATTTAAACCACATTTACCACTCAATGAGACTCTACTTATTATTTTGGGTAAATTACACTTACACCCCCTGAGGTTTTGGTTCAATACATATCACCCCCTGACATTTGGGAAATTATACTAACCTCCGTGTCATTGTAATTATTTAGACGAAATGAAAACATTGAACTCGTGCACTCTCTTTTTTTTTTGCTTTGTTTTACTTTCTCTTTTTTTTTCCCCTCTTTCCTTTACTTTGTTTTTAATGTAATTTCTTATGTTTTTCTACTAGGAGTTGTTACCTTTTATATAAGTAGGGGGATTTGTGAAATGAGACTATTAACCATAGGTGTGGGAATGTAATTTCCAAAACGTTAGGGGGTGGGTAGTAATTAGACCAAACCTCAAAGGGTGTCAATGTAATTTACCCTATTATTTTATCAGACTTGACTTACCACTCATTTAAACCACATTTACCACTCCACTTATTATTACTCAATGAGACTCTACTTACTATTTTATCAAACTTGACTCATCACTTGAACAACACTTACTACTTAATGGGACTCTACTTACTATTTTAGTAGATTTGATTAATCAATCATTTAAACTAAATTTAAGACTGCACTTACTATTTCATCGAACTTGATTTTTTTTTTCTTACCACTTAAATCTCATAATTTTTCTTTTAACTAGATGAAATGTTGTTCCAACAAAACATTAAAATTTATAAATTCAAAACATTGTGGAAAGTTAAAGTAAAAAAATAGATAGAGACTATAGAGACATAGATTCTGACCTAAGGAGTTCCAAATCAACAACAATCTTATCATCAAATCTTCAAATATTCAAAAATTTAAAAAATAAACATAAAATTTTGTTCATGGAATCCTCAAATAAATTATAAATTATTCTATATTTTATTAATTATATTTTTTATTAATTGCATTTATTATTTTCAAGTGTGATAAATGAAAAGGAAACTAGGTTTCATTTATTGTTATTAAGTAGATAAATAAATAAATAAATCATATTTCATAAAATGTAATAAATTATAATAAAATGTATAAAATTCACATTTATTTTGTATATTTTTTTCTTAAATTCTATTTTATAAATTTTATATTTATTTTAGAGGTTAGGTGCATTTTATTAATTTTTGAATGGTAAGTGTAGTTATGTGGAGTAGTAAGTACAACCATATCAAGTATAAGTGTGTTTAGTTGTTGTAGTAAGGTTGAAACTACTCATTTAAACCATACATACTATTTTATCAGACTTACTTACCACTCATTTAAACCACACTTACTACTCAATGAGACTCTACTTATTACTCAACAATCTTATCTTCAAATCTTCAAATATTCAAAAATGTACGGTACATGAAAACTATCATCATGTATCATAGAAAAATCCCAGTGTAAGCCGTGTAAACATGAATGGGAAATATCACTTTGATATAAAATTATTGGGTGTGGCTGTCTACCACCTCACTCTTTCTGTTTTGTCTTCTTTTTTTTTTTTTAATGCATTATTTATAATAATTTGAATTGAAATACTCAAAATACATAAAATCACATAAATCATGCAAAATTATAAAATTTTATTTTAAATTCGTAAAAATTATTTTTTAAATTTTTAAGTGTAAATTTTATATCATTACTCTAAATTTTATAATTTTTAAGTGTATTCAGATTGAATGAATCTGAAAAATAAAAAATGTTGATTAAAATATTTAAAAAAATTTATTAAAAATAATAAAATACAAATTGCTAATTTAAAAAACTATTTTTGAAAACAGTAATGATAGAGACTCTCACAAAACACAACCCCCACAACTCCCAAAATGATTTGAACCATTCATGTTACTATCAGACACAACTCTAAAAAAAAAAATGCAAACACATCAATGATCAATACATCAGTGGGGATCATAGGATCCTCCTTTGTGGGTGTCCCAAACATTCTCCTTTTGAAAATTCCAAAACTAAATATGTTTTGGATTTTAATTTGCAAAAATTGTTTTCAAAATATACAATCAAATAAAATTTTAAGTTTCATAAATTCTTTTCAAAAACATAATTATAAAATTTATTTGAAAATCTAAATCAAATAGATCATCTATTTATATTTTGACCTCAAAATTATTTTTATTTTGCAATAAATTAAATAAATTACATTTTAACTAATGCTTTTATATTCAAGGGCAAATTACATATACACCCCTCGAGGTTTGGCTAAATTACAGATACCCCCCTGAGGTTTCGAAAATTACATCCCGCCCCCTGAGGTTTGTATTTTCATAACAATTTGCCCCCTGAGGTTTATATTTCATAACAAATTACCCCCTAATTTCTTATGCAAATATAGCATTCAGGGGGGAATTCGTAATTTCTCAAACCTCAGGGGGCATCTGTAATTTAGCCAAACCTCGAGGGGTGTATATGTAATTTGCCCTATATTCAAGTGTATTCACTGTACACGGGCATGCACTAGACTATTCCGGGACTTCTGGGTACATAGCTCTTGGATAGGCAAGTTTGATTTATTAGAGTTCTGTGCAAATTATAAAACAATAATTAAGATATATTTTTTAAATAATATTTTACGCGTATGTTTTTTATTTTTTCGCTTTTCTCTTTTACTTTTTTTATTTTTTTACATATCCTCCCATGATCTCATAAATAATCTTATGAATGATCTCATGATCCTACATTTCTCTCTTTTTTTTTCTTTTTTTTTTTTTTACTTTTCCCCCTTTTTTTCCTATTTGTTTGTTTATTTTTATTCTTTTCTTTATATTTACTTATTTTTATTTACACCGTAATTGAAGATATGAGCATTCACTAGAACACCTACATTTGACATAAACTTTCGAGTTCATGGAACAAAAATTAAAAATAAGAACTCTTTTAAAGATACGACGTCCGAATTTTGAGTCTCAATTTCATTTCTCTTATTCTTTTTTTCTACTGG